AAATTTTTCTGATTTAAGTGAAATTACAATTGGTTAAGATAAAATATTTTTCATATACTAGAATTGCTCAATATTAAATAAATAATTTATTAAAAATTTATAACAAAAATTTACCAAAACCCGATACCATCAGAATCAAAAACATTCAATATGAAAATTGGAAAAATTTAAAAAACATTTTTATATAAATTTTAGTATTTCTTACTTTTTCTGATATTTTTTTATCAATCAGATAGTCTTGATGAAAAATCAATTATTAGTTATAATTTTCCAAAAATTACGATATGATGTTCCGAAAAATTTCCACATTATTGCTTTACAACGTTTTAAATTCCTTCTATATGGAAAAATTTTCTGTGTTATATGGTACATAAATTTTAAACCAAAGTTTGGTTCTCTTATCCAAAATTTCACAGGAAAAAAGTCTCACAGAGGAAGAGTAGTAACCCCGCAGAAAATAGAATCCCAACAAATGAATTTAGTACCAAATTGCACTACTTTACGGTCTATTCAAATCGTATTTCAAGCGTGATTACTGTCGCCATAGTCATATTTCGTTAAAAATTTCAATTATTTTTTAATTAATATAAAATGCTCCCAATACGCGTAAGACACACTCTATATTGAGAGCATGTACTTTGCCTCAAAAACGAATTTAGAGCACACAATCATTCATCCTAAATTGATGTTTAACTGAAGAAGTTTTATATATACATGATTGTTCAGCATTTAGAGTGAAAAATATGCTTATTTTTTAAATTTTAATATTAAGTGTGTTAGTACCATATTTAAATAACATGACCTTTAAATCTCCTATAAGCATATGTAGAATTTTCGGTATTAAAACAATATTTTTTTGGCACAACATGTGCATATCATGTAATTGTTCATTAAGTATACAAAAAATAATTTATATAAATATTTTTTTTTTACCAATAAATTTCAGTAACACTGAAATATTTCAAATTTAATAACATTTATTTTATTCTTTATGTTTTTTCCCTTCAATTACTCAATTTTTTATTTATTCTTATTTTTTTATTCAATTGAAAAAAATTGTACTTTTTATCCTTTAAATTATTTTAGAATATTTATTATTTAAGTTATAATTTATATAAGAGTGCACATATACCATAGGATTCCAAAATAAAATATTCATTTTGATAATTTTTTATATTCGTAATATACACGTACATGTATGCATATTATAAACAAATAAAATAAGTATGTGTGTATTCAAAATTTAAGTGAAAATTTTACCATAAAAAAAAATTGTAATTTTTTTTTTTGCTTATATGTTTTAAAATTATTTTAAAACTCAATTTAGAGTCTTGCATTGAGCTCAAAAACAAAAAAAAAAATACAAGTAAAATTCACATGTAAAATTTATCGCAAAAATTGAATAAACGTAAATTTTTTTTTTTTTGAAAACGTTTTGTATAGCAGAAAGATTCTCTATAGCGTCTAGGTATAATATGCAGCCCTAATGTATAAAATAAGCATAATATACCTTAATGTGTACAGGATAGGGTTAATCAATACGGAGATAATGTTAGTAAGGAATTTTAAAATTTTAAAGAATGAGAGAAAGAGAGAGGTACAATATTATAATAATAAATTAATCTTAAATTAAAATAAAAATTCTTCTCTATAATAAAATTTTAGCTCTCTCTTGGAATACAATTACTTGTCCACTTCGTTTTCAATATTTTCATTCTCTTCTCTCTCAGAAAAATATTATTTTTATAACTTTAGTCTTTTATTTTACTCTCATTTTAAATAGTATTGAGAAATAGGGAAATATTCATTAGATTGATCACTCTCTCAAAAAAAAATCCGAATATGAAAATTTGAATTGAATTGAAATGAAAATTGTACATCTCTTTCACTCATTGTTTTAGAAAAATATACTCGTAATTCGGATGAATATTTTTGAACGAAATTATTACCATATTAAACTGTTGACTTGATGGATCTAAATAGACACTGTAAATTTGAGTAATTTTCTAAATAGAAAAATTCTAATATTGGTTTTGTAAAAGTCAAAGTCTTTCAATAATTTTGCAATCATGTCTGAATATGGTAATTGTTCTTCCCAGTGTCTCCATATAATTAATATACTATCAGATATTACAATGTTCAAATAATATGGAACTGGGAAACCATATATTAAATGTGTGTTATTTCCATTAAAATGTCTCAAATAATTGAATCTACCCCTTAAATAAATTTTTGGGTAATATTCTATTTAATAATTGAAATTTATTGTAAATTATTAAATTTTTATTTTGAATGAGACGATAAATGTTATTAACAAAATGAAAAAAAATGCTACAAACTAAATTTTTTTTTCAAAATTTCCCAAACATTATTGGAATTTTGGAAATACTAGGTACTACCAAATTTCCACAAAATTTCGTTTTTGAATGATTTGTTGTCATACCCATTGTTCTTTAACAATATATTATGTTTAAAATTTAATATTTAATATTTTTCAATTTCAAACTCTTATTTCATTAAATTTGTAATATGAAATAAATCTGGCTAAATTTCATATTTCACAGGTTTTTTATGAAATAAAATGAATTAAAATCAAGTTCAAGAAACAAATAAATCCAGACTAGAAAAATAACTTTTTTGTATAATTTCCAAATGATAATCATAATCACTTTAAATGAATAATAATTTGTAATTCAAATATGTAAAACTATTTTTTCTTTTTTTTTTTCAAAAATTTCATACATAAAATTAACAAGTTGGCAAAACATTCCGTTTTGAATTAAGATGCCTTAAGATGTTTTATAAAATTATTCCCATTATCATAATGTTTTGTTTTCTTTATTGCTTTCATTACTCCCATATATTATGTATGTATAAAGCTTCAAGGAATTCTCTTCATAAAATATTTATAAATGTATTTGGTACTCATAAATTGGTAGACTCATTCATTATAATTTTATGTATAACATTTTCTATATGCAAATATTATGCATCCTTTTTTAATAGATTACACAACATTTTTATTATGTCGTCGCATATAGGTACCTACCTACTTGTATTTGCACTAGCCTTATAGTAAAGGGAAAAAATAAATTTCATTATTTTTAAAAAAAAAAAAAAAAAAAGAGAAGAAAATTCAATTTTAGATGCAATTTTTATGTCTTTATTTTCTCTATTTTCGTCTTCTGCAACAACACAACTTTTAGTAGAAATATAAAATTTAAAAAAAAAATGGCAGTTTCTTAAAAATAAAAAGAAAAAGATTCTTTAAATTACATAAGTTTTTTTTGCTGTTATTTGCTGCTATTTATACAAAATTAAAGAGGCTGCAATAGCAAAAAAAATGAGAAAATAAAATTAAAAGAGGACCAAGAAAATAAACGTCAAGAATATTGTAGTGTTTATATAATTTACAAGAATCAATGAAAATAACAAAAAAAAAAAATAATATTTTCTAGTAATATCGGGAATGTGCTTATTATTGTTTCACTTTGTCAGTCAATTTATTGTCATAGATAATACATCTATGTTTATAAAACTTTCAACTGCTTCGAAATAGAAAATTTCAATTTTATACATGAATGGGCCTTTGCGCGACTAATATTTCTCTAAAATTTAGAAGAAAATATTTTGCCTATCTACTCCCTAATCTCAACCCAAACCCCTTCTCCACTAGCAAAAATCCAAGACAAAATCCTGATTATAAAACTTTCTTACCGGAAAGAACCGCCTTACGTCTCTTACGAACTGCCAGGAACAGCATTGACAAATTATCAAATTTTACCGTACCGAAAAAAAGAAAAGTAAAAGTAGCTCTGATTTCGTGTTTATTATGCTAATATTTTACTTTCTTAGGACAAAATTTTAATCTTAACATATTCCGCTCCCAAATTATCTCTTCTTAAAAAAAAAATTCGACAATATTCACCAATTTGTAAGATTTTTTAAATTCCTACAAAAGCAAACAAATATTTTCTTTTTTAAAAACGTGCTGTTAATTATCTTAAGTGACCCCATTCTTTTATTATATTTTCTCATCCTAAATGTATGCAAAAAATTTCAAAATTTTTTTTTAAAGGAAATGTGATACTTTACAAACCCTTGATTCATTTTTAATTTATTTATTTTATATTAACACATAAAGACACAATATAAAAATAATACAAACAACTCAAGTGCATTGTATATAATTTTTTAAAAATGCATGCACACACATATATTTGCATATTCGCATATTTCATTATCCTTTTTAAGAAAATTTTCGAAATTTTCTTGGCATCAACAACATTTTCTATTTTTCATTTTCCGATTTTATTTTTCAACTTTGAGGTTCAGTAGATTTTTTTTTTTTATTTTTGCCATTTTCTGTTTGTCTATGGTTTTTTTTTTTTTTTTTTTAAATTGGAATACATGAATAAGTTGTGTTTAATTTTTATTTCTTTTCTTTGAATATGCACGTACCTACGTATCTACATATAAAAAATCTATACGTTATAGGAAGAAGCAGGAATTTGATCATTAAAACAGTCTAGTCAAAAACAAAAATATTCAGACTTTATGGTGGAAAATTTTTTATATACTAGATATATTATGTACTTGTATACACTGTTATACAAAAATCATAAGAAAACTTAAGCAATAAAGAAAATAATAAGTTTATTGAAATGCAATTTCTAGAATTACCAGATAATCTTAAATTATGAATGCAATTTATATAATATATGTAGTTGTAGTTGTAGTTGTAGTTGCATTTTATATTATAAATGCAATATTGAAAACAATTTCTTTTATTGTACCGCCAATATTTTTATTATTATTGCATATAATATGGGGGAAAAAAAAAATTTATTGATCATTAATTTTTTATGAGTTTATCGACTTTTAATGAATTTTATTAATTCTCTTTTATTTCATTTAAAAATATCCTTTTTTCGTAATTGACAATATTTTCCGCTTAAACATTATATCGTATTGACAATTTTATTATTTAATTATTTAAGTATTAAAAAGGAATTAAAAGAAATGGACAATGAATTAAGCGGAAAAAATTTGGACAATGACATTAAGCGGAAGGGACATTGGACAATGAATTAAGCGGAAAAAATTTATTTGTGAGAAAGGAAAATTATTTTTTTGTATATCTTACCTATAATTTATTAAAATTATTAATTTTAAAATATTAAATTTTATGAAATATAAAATATATTTCAATATTTAAAAAAAAAAGAGCAGTAATAATTAAAATACTCACTTAAATATGAAATGAAATAATATAATCTCTTTAATTTTGAATAATAACTCTAAGATTTAATTTTCTCTCTAATTCCAATATGATCACTTTAATATTTCTCTTATCTTAATTACACTGTATACCAGTAGTATTGTACGAAAATACTGTATTAAATTAAATCTCTCTTTAAATTTAGTTCTCAAATAATTGTCACTTTACTCCTTTTTATTTTAATTGCTACAGAATTTCTCTTAAAAATTTATGAAAACAGTATTTGCGAGTTTTGATATAGTTTGAAGCCTTAATGAATAAATTGTTTACGTTAATTAATTTCTATTGAGTCGATCACCTTGATAGCTAATACTTATTGTATTGATTATAATTTTTATTTTGTAAGTAATGTCCCTAAATAAAATAATAGTTCCTAACAAAATCATTTCTCTTGTACATATACTTAACTAATTATTAATGCAGGGTATAATTTCGCTTTACAAATAAACTTGAACTTTCTCTAATATAACAATAAAAAATTAAAATAATTTTTTAAATTTTTCTTGAATTGATCATGAATTGATCTTGAATTATAAAAGCAATATTTTCATTATTTGTGTACCAAAATCCCTAACCAAATTCTTATGGACGCATTTGAACGATATTAATTTTTAATTTTGTCAAATATTAATTCTCTCAAATACTAATTAAGAAAGACAAATCTTAAATCTTGCAAAAAATATTATGTTAAGATTGATTTTAATATGGCAACAGTTAGCATTTAAAATACAACTAGTTACTAGTATTAAACAACTAGTTTAGAAATAAAATATTTAGATCCAATATTTTCAGTTAGATTTTCAATTGGATTGCAGCAAAACGCTGATAGAAAAATCTCAACGCTGATTGAAAAATCTTACTGAAATTTTATAGGACTCCTAATATCTGTTCTTGTGAAAATTGTCACTTTAAACAAGTATACTAAATTAAAATTTTACTGTTCAAAAAAAATCTTTAATTTACCAATGATTATATACGAGAATATAGTGATAACAACTGAGAATATACTGACGTCACTTGATATTTTTTTTTGTTTCAAGCATTTTTGATAATAATGCTTATGACAATAAATTAGGTTGGCAATTCCTTGCAATGTAATTGAATGCAATATTATTATAGTATTTATCACGTCGCTATACGAATATTTTGCGTTTACTTTAAAATTTCACAATTATTTTAACATCTATTATCATTACTATGATTATCACTATTTATTATAATTATCACCATTTCAATAATTCAACACATGCTCATACACATAAACAACAATTTTATAAAATAAATTAAATTTCGCTAAAGAATAGTTTCTCCTAATAAAATATGCATTTAATTGCATATTTTTAGGAATAAGAAATAAATAAAAACAACAATATTAAAAAAATTTCATATAAAAATTTAAAACATCCGTTTAAAAACCTACTCTCATACCAACTCACAACTCAAATAAATCCAAATTTTTAAATTTATATGAGATCCTACACGTCTCCTTTAAAAAGGATATTTTCTATTTTAGAATTTATACACTCAAAATCTAGCGAATATTCTACAAGAAAATCCACTAAAACTGCAGTAGAAATAAAAAGAAATTTAATTAAGTTGTGAATCACATATTCTCATATCCCGTACTAAAAATAAAATGAAGAGGAAAAATTATCTTGTAGATACTTAAAAAAAAAAAAAAAGACAAATTGTATTTTTATAATGAAACATCCTTTTTAATATCCTTTTTCTTGTATTTTATATTACAATTCTTTTCGGTTTTTTTTTTAATCTTACAGAAAAAATTCTTCATCTTCACAATCATTGTGTCGTTTGTTTCACGTTGTCGTGAGAAAACAATAAATTTACAATATGTAAGTGAAATTGTAATAAAGCGATTATTGAAGAAAAGTACATTTAAAAGGAGAAAAGAGAGAAACAAAATATAAAAAAGAAATCCTTTTCACTTTATCCTGGAAAAAAAAATTCAAAAATTTTTTCGGCGAGACTCAAATAATTTTCAAAATAATCTCAAGGAATTTTTATTTAAGTTTTTTTTTTTGTCTTATCGCTATGAAAATTTTTATCATAAAAGAAAATTGTTATCCTGCTTTTGGTAAGAATTTTGTGGTAAAATTTTAAGACTTACGTGTTTATAAAAATAAAAGAATAAAAATTATTAAAATTCGAAATTTAATGTGGACATTTTTTCAGAAATAAAAATTTATTCTTGTATTTCTTAAAATTTATTCCAAAAATTTTCATTATAAATTTTTATCGACCCTATGTTTAGGATCCTGCGTCGCAATGAAGTAAAACTCGCAAGCTCTTGTATTTCAGTTTTTATAGCCAGAGAGATGAGTTGAGAGTGAGGTTTTTGTTCCAAATTTTATCAAAGTGGCGTGATTCTACAATTGCAGGTTTTAAAAAATTAAATTCAAAAAAATGAAACTACGCAAATATTTTCTTAAAAATTAGAATAGTTTCAATAACTTTTAATTTAGAAATGTTAGAAATTAGAAGCTTTGCAAAAAAAAATTATATTATTTATGAGAGCCTTCATTTTGAAATCCATGACATTATTCAGACTTAATTTAATACAATTCTTTGGTAAAAAGTGTCTTTTGATTTTACTCTGCCCCTACTTCTACTATATTAACAAACGTTTGACATTAAAAGCTTAAATATCGTAAGCACATCAGAAAATCTTACTCAGTAAATCATTTTTCTGGAGTGAAATATTCATCAATCTCCTTTCTTCTTCAAATAATAGTTATTAAAAATGGAGACAATGGTAGTCTAATTCTTACTCAGTTTCAGCTATTTCTTCAAATTAACTCGATGCGTTTATCTTGTATTGAAGTGATAATTTTAAATAACAGGCAACCTTTTCTAATCTAAAACGAAAAATTGATATAAAATTCCTAATAAATTTGACAATTTTTTATTTTATATTTGCTTTCTTAAATTCCGTCATTTTTAAATATCGCAAACCATTTCTTCCGCAAGCAATAAGTGTTTCTTTTAAGAATTAAATTTTTACACCTTATTAAATTAAATGTTGCTGTATATATACACTACAAACCGCAATTGCTAAAAAATGTCACACATATAAGGTAAACAGTATTATATTAAAATATGACCTACGGCCATTGATCTGACACGATAATTTTAATTTAAGGCCACAAAAATCTGAGAAAATCTTTTAGACAATGGAATTTTTTCCAGCATATAAAGATATTGCATAAATATCGGCTATTAAATTCATTGGTTTCATTATAGTTCTGCCGATAATATGCCAACATAATCAGTATAGTACTCATATATATTATTATGCATTATCATTAAGGACATAAAATGCATATTTGAATCCTTAATGATTTAAATATTGATTTTGGTCATTTCTTTGCTCCTGATTTGGTTTTTTTTTTTGCTTTTAATATTTTATATTGGGGGAAAAAAAGGCCATCTGAAAATATGGGTCATATTCATAAATTTTCCACTTAAAAAAAATTCATTTTTATGTGTGTATGTGTGTGTGTGTTTATGTGCATTGTGTTCAGTATTGCAATTTTACCGTTTATTATACGTTTTTCTTTTTGGTTTTTTTATGTATTGGAATGCATAATAATAAATGACTTTTTCTTTTTGTTTTTATTCTTTTTTCTGTTTTCCGGCATTTTTATTATATTCACTTATTATTTAGATCAATACATACATACATACATAATGTGTTCGCATTTAAAATGACATCGTAACATACTCCTGATGGAAATTGTTTGAATTTAAAAAAAAACAAGAGGGAAAAAAATGAATTTCATGTTTTTCATATTTAACATGAAAAATATTCAAACTTTCACCTATACCTTTTTTTAAGAAAATAATTTTGTATACCTACATATTATATATATATATATATATATACATGCATTATATTATTGAAAAAAACAATGTTAATAAATAACTGAGGGTATTATAAATTTGTTACTACATTTACAATAATGAGAAAAAATTATTAGAATTGCATACGTTTAGGATGAAAATGAAAAAGAAATATTAATATTTAATGATTAAATTCTGTAATAACCTAATAGAGTTACTGTAAAATATATACGGGCTATGACTCAAGAAAAACGGGTAGTTTTTCGGAATCATTATAAAAATCGGAATCATTAAGAAAAAGAGTGTTTTGGAATCATTATGCATTTAGTTTGTCTTCTAGTATAGATTAAAATTCATAGAAATTATCCCCATTTTAATTTAATTGGTGTAAATTTTAGATTGCAAATAACTGAAGCTTATAAAATTTTGGTTACAACTGAATACCCAGAGGTCACTATGATTATCTATGATATCGTAACCTAGCCGTATGCTCCTCCCAGGAGTGAAGAAGAAAAAAAAAATCCCACAAAAAATTTTATGTGATATTCCGAATACTATGTAATTTCATGAGTTTTTCACCCAAACCATTTTGGCATAATCTATACAAAAGGAACTTAGACTTAACCATTTTATGTAGGTCACATTTTTAATCGGGCAATGTTTAGTCAAGAAGCCAATAAGAGCACGATTTAGATCCATTCTCAGCAACATATTGAGGAAATTTTCCTTAAGTGAGATGGAACTTTTTCTCAAAAGTAAGAGAAATAATCTCAAATGATGACATTGATGTACAATTTCATTTAAAATCTTTCTCATTCATAAATTTGAGAAGAGAAAGAGAAAAACTTTATTGACAAAATATTAAATATCCTTAAGTAAAGCAGATCAACTCTTTTATTTACAATTTTTTACATGATTTTCTTAACAAAAAAAAATTTTTTTTTACATAAAA